TCATGACCCAAGCCAAAGGCAGACGCCCAACCGACTGAGCCACCCAGATGCCCTTCCCCCAGTTTTAAAATCTTTTTTAAAAGATAAGATTTTCTTTATCTGAGAGAGAGAGAGCGAGAGAGAGCAAGCAGGCTTGGGGTGGGGGGCAGAGGGAGAAGCAGGCTCTCCACTAAGCAGGGAGCCCGAGGCGGGGCTCAATCCCAGGACCCTGGGATCATGACCTGAGCCGAAGGCAGACACTTAACCAACTGAGCCAACCAGGTGCCTCCCCCCAAATTTTCTTATTTGCTTAGCAACTTACTTTCATGCGCCTGTAGGTTATGTGTATGTGTCTTTAACTGTCAAACATTTGAGGAGTAGTCTTATTTTTCTGTCATCAATTTCTAGTTTAGCTCTGTTATGGCTAGAGAACATACTATGCCTTTTTTCAGTTGTTTTAAATTTATTAAAATTTTGTTATGACCCCGATGATGGTCATATGGACACGGACTCTCTTGCCTCCTTCTTTCACTTAAAAGGACTCTTGTGATTACACTGGGGACCCCCAAATAATCCAGGATAATTTCCCCCACTTTGATGATTTATTTAATCCCACCTGCAAAGTCCCTTTGGCCATGTGACATGACGTCTTCACCGGCTCTGGGGATTAGGATGTGAGCATCTTTGGGGGGGTGGTTAGTATTCTGTGTACCACACCTCCTTTCCCTCTAGTAACCCTTACGGTGGCTGTCACTGTCCCCAGATTGGTCCACAGAGGTGAAGAGATTTGGCTCAGAGAGTAGCAAGGTCCCTGTCTCACAAAGGAGAAAAGTGCAGCAACAGTCGAGGACCCCTAGGAATACTAGTAACACTACTGTCAGTGTTGATAATTACAGTTACCATTTACCCTGAGCTTTGTGTGGATTAGAGCTGCCCCCAGCCACATTTTCCAAGTGAGAGTCTGAGGCTTAGCAAGTTTCTCGGATTTGCCCAACGGCACGCAGACGGGGAGTAGTGGAAGAGTCAGGGTTAGAAATCAGGCTTTGTCCATCCTCCGTGCATTTAATCACTGCCTCAAGTTAACAACTATGACCCTGGAAGGGTCGGGGGAGGCCTCCTTAAAGTGGATCCTTTATGGATCTAGAACTGTAGGATGGATTTTAGGGTCCGCTAGCGGCCAGACCTCTGTCAATATTGGACCTACAGAGAGGCTATTTGGCGCCGTGGCTCCCTTTGTGTCTCTGACTCTCTCTCTCTCCTTCCCATACATGTTGGTGTGCGTGTGCGTGTGCCCGTGCGTGCACACACACACACACACACACACACACACAAACACAGAATGTGGTGTCTTATATTTGTGGTTTAATCTATATAACTCAGGGCTTATGTATCCACATCATTTAGGAGATTATGACCCTCGACACACATGTGGGATTCCTCTCACAAAGCTCTGTAACCAGTGTAGAACCATCCACAGCCCTGTCCACCCCTCTCGCCTTAAAATGGCCTCCGTTGTTGAGGGTGAGCAGGAGGCATCCATGGAGAGTGACAGTTTCCTGTGGGCATCTGGGGTGGGGAATGAGCAGCAGAGTGTGAATGGTGGAAACGTCTGGACTAGGATTTCTGGGCCCTTTAACGTATCTGTTCCCAAATCACCACTTGCAAGCCACCAGGCGTCCCCTTCTTCACTTGTCCCCGGAGCCTCTTTAGCCCCCTCCTCCAGCCTCAGATACACCCCGTGTCTGCCAGCCCCAGACTGGGAGTCCTGGGCAATGAATCCCTCAGGGCTGAGGGTAAAGGGAAGGTTTTCTGAGAGGAGGAGCTGCTGTGAGTGTCCCATCAGGAGGCAGGATGACACTGTGCAGGCCTGGGGCTGTGAGCACAGAGAAGGGCACCCGGGAGGGGCTGGGGCCTCATGATCACAATAGTGTTCCTGTGGCTGTCCTTATGGGCTTTTTAGCCTCTGGCCAGCTGTGCCCCAAGGCAGCCGGACAACCCAAGTCTGTTATCTGCTTTGTCTGGGCCCGAGTGGTCTCATGGGCGACAGGGTTTTTTTCTGGGGGCGCCTAGTGAGGATTAAATGAGCAGGCACCTATGAAGTACTTGGGATCAGCCATAAAAAGAGGGAAATCCTGCCATTTGCAATAACATGGATGGCCCCTGAGGACAATATGCTAGGTGAAGTAAGTCAGACAGAGAAAGACCAGTACTGTATGATCTCACTGATATGTGGATTCTTAAAAAAAAAAAAAAAAAAGCAAACTCATAGAAACAGAGAACAAATTGGTGGTTACTAGAGGTGGGGGGCTGGGGAATGGGTAAAGGGGATCAAAATACAAACTTCCAGTTATAAGATAAATAAGCTCTGGAGGTCTAATGTACAGCATAGTGATTCTAGTTAATAATACTGTACTATGTATTTGAAAGTTGTCAAGAGATTAGGTCTTAAAAATGTTCTCATCATAATGGGGCACCTGGGTGACTCAGTCATTAATCGTCTGCCTTCGGCTCAGGTCATGATCCCAGGGTCCTGGGGTTGAGACTCACATCAGGCTCCCTGTTCAGCAGGAAGCCTGCTTCTCCCTCTCCCACTCCCCCTGCTTGTGTTCCCTCTCTCGCTGTCTCTCTCTCTGTCAACTAAATGAAAAAATAAGATCTTTAAAAAAAAAAGCTGTCATCATAAGAAAAAATTGTAACTATTTGAGGTGATAGATTTTAACAAATCTTACTGCAGTGATCAGGGTGCCTGGGTGGCTCAGTCAGTTAAGCATTTGCTTTCAGCTCAGGTCATGATCCTGGGATCGAGCCCCACTTTAGGCTCCATGCTCAGTGGGGAGCCTGCTTCTTCCTCTCCCCTCTGCTCATGTTCTCTCTCACCAATAAATAGATAACATCTTTTTAAAAAAAAGTTATTTGAACTTATAGAAACTTTGACCTGTTAGTCCAAATGGGGTCCTGGTCCTTCAGCCTCTCTCAGCTGCCTGGAACATTCTTCCTGGGGTCAAGGTGCACAGAAGCTCACTCCCCATGGTGCCCACACTGAAGGCACTCTGGATGTCTGCTTCAAGGTGGAAGCAGGAGGGGTTAGCCACCAAGTGAGCATCTGCTTGGGGATGCCCACACAATATCAGGTACATCCTGACTGCTAAAAATCTGGCAGTACCCAAGGGACCCACAAACCCTCAGGTGTCCCAGTCTAGTGTAGGAGGCTCACACATATGTACAAGCACAACAAAGAAATGGAAAGGCACCGCAGTATGTAGGTTTGAGAATTGAACGCTGGATCCAGATGGTCTTGGTTTGAATCCTGGCTCCATGATTTCCCAGCTGTGTGACCTCTGGCAGGTCGCTAAACCTCTCTGTTTCTCAGATGCCTCATTTGTAAAACGGAGAAAACAACACTATCTACCTCATTAGGTTATTGTAAGGAGTATAATAGGAGTTAATATGTATAAAGAGTTTAGAACACATCCTGGCATATAATAAATGTTCAATAAATGCTTGGTAGTGAAAAAAAAATATGAAGCATTGAATTAAAAGTCCAGCCCAAGGATGTTTAAGAAGGGACCCAAGGGAAAGGAAGGCAAAGCTGATAATAGCACTACTTTCCAAAGTTATTTCCTTACAGCTTTTTAAAAAAGATTTTATTTATTTATTTGACAGAGAGAGATCACAAGTAGGCAGAGAGGCAGGCAGAGAGAGAGACGGAGAAGCAGGCTCCCTGTGGAGCAGAGAGCCCGATGTGGGGCTTGATCCCAGGACCCTGAGATCATGACCTGAGCTGAAGGCAGAGGCTTAACCCACTGAACCACCCAGGCGCCCTCCTTACAGCTTTTTAAAAAAGATTATGTTCATTTATTTGTCAGAGAGAGCACAGGCAGAGGGAGAAGCAGACTCCCCGCCGAGCAGGGAGCCCGATGAGGATTCGATCTGGACCTTGGATCATGACCTGAACCAAAGGAAGATGCTTAACCGACTGAGCCACCCAGGCTTTTCCGTCTTTCTTAAAGTGTGGTCCTATGGCTAAGTCCCCATCCTTGGGCAGGAAACCTGTCCTGTCCCAGGCCAGAGCTGGTCCTCCCCAAGGCTACTCATCTAGGAGAGCCCTGGGAGCAATGTGGAGACAGAACTGAGGCCAACAAAGCCCAGCCCGCAGCCTCTTGGAGCTGCACACTTCTCTCCGCACGCGTGCACCCATTCTACCTGCTGTTCCCTGTTAACTGCGTGTTCTGTAGAAGGTGCTCCCCCTCATCCCTGCAGGTAAAGGGGCCCATTCATTTTGTATCCTATCCAGGTCTGGTATAACATGAACCCCAGGCATTAATTCTACTCTGCAAATCATTAGCTATAAATAGTCATTTAGAGTGTTTTCTCCCGGTAGTTTGTTCACCCCAAACTTGGACACGCAGCTGTGTGCACACGTGTGTTTCTTTGGCACACGATCTTATAAGTAGAATTGCTGAGTCAAAGGAGTCACTCATTCAACGAGCACCTAAAGAGTGATGGACACTGCTCTAGGTGCTGGGGAGACATCAAGGAGCTAAAAGGCACACGTTCGTGCTTTGGTGGAGCTGACATTCCAGTGGAGGAAGTTTCCAGTTTTTATTTTGACAGATGTTGCCACAATGCTGTCCACAATTATCAACATCCTCAGCCCGCTCCTGGAGTGGGAACTTTGAGGCGGGTGGTTGGATTCTCTGGCCTTTGCCTCTGCGAGATCTTCAGGGTCAGGGCCAGGGCCGGTCCATCTGGGGACGTCCGTGGGCGGTGTGTATGTGTCACGGGGAGACCGGAATGGAAGGGTCCACTGCAGAGCGGGGGGCTGGGTGGGGGGGTGAGGAGGATGGTTCACGCGATATCTGCAAAGAAGCTTCCTTGATCACACCACTAGGGGGACTACAGGAGGTAGGGAGGAACAGTCCAAGTTGGAACCGTCCTCCCAGGTAATACCCCTTCAGGAGGTAGAGATGGAACAGTCAGATCTGGGAGGTACCACTGGGTAGGGGGCATCTATTCTGGAACAAACCATTGTTTGGGTTGGAGAGGCCCTAAGGGCTGCTACCACCCCCGCACAAGGGGATTGCGCACAAGCCCCCGATGGAGGCAGGAGTGGCACTTCCTTGACCGTCCGCAGCCCCCGCTCATTCTCCCAGTTCCCAGCCAAGTCCCAGGTAAGCACCCGTTATACGACCGAGACCCCCACCTTTCCCAGGCTTGCGTCGCAGCTTCTTCGGCCCCGCCCTTCTTGGTTCCTTGACTTTGAATCGGTGGTTTGCGCGTGCAGGGCCTAGCGATTGGATCCCAGGAGAAGGGAGCGGGCCCCAAGGCTCGTTTTGGGATCTCATTGGTCAGCCCGAGCTTTCGCCAATCCCATGGTTATCCGGTGCGCAGAAGGGACGTCAGCCCCGCCCCGGTCACGCGCCCAGCTCCACTGGGCGCAGGTGCGGTGGATGCTTGACAGGAGTTCGAGGCCGTGGTAGTGGGGCTTTCGTGATGGTGAGCAAGTTCGAATCCCGTCTCCGTGCATCAGTGTGTTAACTTGTCAAAGGGACTGAAAGTGGTACTCCTGAAGCCAAATTCAGAGATTACTGGCTCATGGCCATGCTCTGCCTCTTAGTGCAACGGTGTTGGGAGCTGACTTCGTGTGTTCCCCGCTCATCCTAAACGCAGTCACAAGCCCAGCAGGTGCGCGTTTCCTCGCACTCTTTCTTGCAGCGCTTCCATTCATTCGTTCTCTCCACTGCTAAAGTTGCATCATCGGATCTGGGATTTAGAGAAATTTCACAGAACTCACTATATTAAGCAGAAATCCTGCCTGGTCGACTACCCCTAACTCCAGGACCACAGAACAGGGCTCCTTAGAGGAGCCCCAGCCCTCAGCAGTTGGTACTTTCGGGATTGAATATCCCCCCTGTGGGTTTTCCTTTTGCTGTTAATTCCAGAACTACATTAAGGACCTGAAACCAGGTTTATCTTGAAACCACACTGCAATCCAGTATTATTTTTTAAAAAGATTTTACTTATTTATTTGTCAGAGAGAGAGGGAGAACAAGCAGGGGGAGCAGCAGACAGAGGGAGAAAGCAGGCTCCCCGCTGAGCAAGGAACCCAGTGTGGGACTGGATCCCAGGACCCTAGGATCATGGCTGGAGCCAAAGGCAGACGCTTAACCCACTGAGCCACCCAGGCATCCCTGCAATCTAGTTTTAAAGCTAAATATTAATTTTTTTTGGTGGACAGCAAAGTTTATTGAGCGATAATATAAAGCTCCGGAAGAAGGAGGGGACCTGAGAGCGTTGCCTACCACATTAATTTTATCTAAATGCAACAACAAACGCTTGTCTTCACAACATTATATTTCCAACATTTCCTCTTGTGATGCATAATAAAGTGGGGGTGGCTATATAGTCAGAAATAAAAGTAAAGTGAAAGTATGGGACAAAAAAGCAAACTCTAAAAGTGAACGCGAGCATATGCGAAGGAACCTAACTCTTGATCAAATTGATAACTCACAGAGAGTGTATTCTTCCAGATAACTTTCTCTGGTTGTGTTAATATGGGTCATGACACAGAGGAAGGGCTCCATCTGCCCAGCCTTAAGTATACAATTTTGTTTTCTTTCTGTCAAGATTTCTGAATGCATCCTGTTTGTTTTAATCAGAATGCTGTCATTTACCAGAAGCTCATTTCTCTAGGCCAAGGGCAGACTGGGAAAAGAGTCTGTTTACATCTGTTACTTGTCTGAAATTGCCTTGGAATACAAGAGTCAGAACTCAACTTGGCAAGAAGTTTGGCTGGAGCTGACTCACTCTCCTCTCAGGTCCTCCATTCCAGCCCTTGAAGTAGACCAGGTCAGGCTAGCTGCTGTGGGCCATGACCCCAGTGTGGTGCTTGTTATTAGCCTTTCTTAGAATTCCACTCTGATCTCTCTCTTTCTATATCAGAGTGACTGCTGAAAAGCCATTATTTATGTAACTGCCTCTACTTACTACTGTCTGCCCTATGGACTCTAACATGGCTCTAAGACCCCCACACTGGGGCGCTGGGTGGCTCAGTGGTTAAGCATCTGCTTTCAGCTCAGGTCATGATCTCAGGGTCCTGGGATCAAGCCCTGCATTGGGCTCCCTGCTCAGTGGGAAGCCTGCTTCTCCCTCTCCCACTCCCTCTGCTTGTGTTCCCTGTCTTGCTGTGTCTCTCTCTGTCAAATAAATAAATAAATAAAATCTTTAAAAATAAAAAAGTGAAATCCCCACATTATACTCCTCTTCTGGAGAATGCATAGGAACAGGACTGTTAATAGCTGCCCGGACAGACCCCAAAGCCAAAAGCCAACACACCCTGCTGGGATTTTGAGTGGATTGTGTTGAATCTATAGACCAGTCTGGGTAAATTAATATCTTAACAATACTGAGTCTTCTGATCTATAAACATGGTATACCTGGCTACTTATTTATGTCTTTCATTTTTCTCAGCAATGTTTTGTAGTTTTCTGTGTCTAAGTTTTACATATCTTTTGTCAGAGTTATACCTGAGTATTTCCTATTTTTGATGCTACTGTGAGTAGAATTGTTTTCTTAATTTCATTTTCCAATTTTCCAAAATTTTGTTTAGAATTTTTCATTTCGTTAGCTTTTTTTTTTTATAGCTTCTATTGTATTTGCTACATGGATGGTCATATAGGTGATCATAATAACTTTTTACTTTTTATTTTCCAATATGGATGCCTTTTATTTCTTTATCTTACCTGACCGCAGTGGCTCCGACTTCTAGTACAGTATTGAATAAAAGTGATGAGAGTGGAAATCCCTGTCCTGTTTCTGAGGTCGGAGAGAAAGCATTCAGTCTTTCACCATTAAGTATGGTGTTAGCTGTGATTTTCCACAGACGTCTGTTATCAGGCTGAGTAATGTTTCTTCTGTCCCTTGTTTGCTGAGAGGTTTTATCAGAAATCAATGCTGAAGTTTTTAAAATGCTTTCTTCTACCTCTGTTGAAATGATCATATCATTTTTTTTCTTTTCGTTTGTTAGCATGGCGAAAGAGCATAGGTTTTCAGATGTTAAACCAGCCTCTCATGATGTGTTATCCTCTTACTATAGTGTTGTATTTGGTATGCTAAAATTTTTATTTATTTATTTATTTATTTATTTATTTTTTGGTATGCTAAAATTTTAAAATTTTGTGTCTGTGATTACAAAAACATGGGTCTGTAGTTTTCTTGTCTAATGTCTTCATCTGATTTTTGTGTCAGGGTGTAATGCCAGCCTCATAGAATGAGTTGGGAAGTATTTTCTCCTCTTCAGTTTTAAAGAATCTACGTAGAATTGGTATTTTCCCCCTTAAGTATGTGGTAGAATTTGCCAGTGAAGCCATCTAGTTATTTCTTTTTTAAAAATTTTATTATTTTTAAAAGATTATTTATTTATTTATTTATTTATTTGACAGAGAGAGAGAGAGAGAGATCACAAGTAGGCAGAGAGGCAGGCAGAGAGAGAAGGGGAAGCAGGCTCCCTGCTGAGCAGAGAGCCCAATTCGGGGCTCGATCCCAGGACCCTGGGATCACGACCTGAGCCGAAGGCAGAGGCTTAACCCACTAAGCCACCCAGGTGCCCCAAGATTTTATTATTTTTAAGTTATCTCTATACCCAAGGTGGACCTTGAACTTATGACCCCAAGATCAAGAGTCCCTTGCTCTTCCGCACTGAGCCAGCCAGCCGCCCCCTCCCCTTAAGTATTTAGTAGAATTCGCCAATGAAGCTATGTAGTTACCTATTCCTTTTTGAGTGAGCTTGGGTAATTTTTTCTTTTGATGAAATTGTCCATTTTATCTAAATTGTCAGATTTATTAGTGCAAAGTTGTTCATATTTCCTTAGTCATCCTTCTAATACCCATAGAACCAATAGTGCTATCACGTCTGTCATTCCTGACAGTGATCATTTGTGCTGTTCTATCTGGTAATTCATCATTGACTTTGGCCTCGTACCTGACTTGCCCCAAAGAAGAGGCTCCACACCCAGTCCTGTAAACTTGCCTGCGGATTAGCTCTTGAGTCACTCTGATCATCTGTCTCTCTGATCATCTTGGCCCTTCGCAGTGTGAATGGAACAACCTACTCTTCTTATGCTTCCTAAATTCCTAAACTCCTTCATCCTTTCATTCGTGCTAGAGTTTGGGATCTCTTAAAGCAAGAAAAAGGGTTGACACCCCCCTCTTTTTTTTGGCATCCCTCTGGGAGCAGTGCGACACCGAGCTGGGTACACAGTAGGTACACAATGCGTAAGTGAGGACTGATCATCCCCGCCTATAATAAACATTTGGGGTTTTATTTTGACATAACTTCATTAACATCCAAGTTGGAGCTTTTCCCTCCATAAAAAGCTTCCTGTTTCACAGCAGCTACAATTATTCACAAAGACTGTTATGGAGTGTGAACCGATTTAACTGAAGTTATCACGGTTGCAGAGTGAGAACCGCAGAGTTAAGGAGAATTTCAGAGATGACACTATTTCACTTTGAGGAGGGTGGATACAGGGTCCGGGACTGAGAACCAGACTTTGCAGCTTTACGTAAGCCCAGCTGAGGAAGTAAAAAATTCAGCTTCCCTCCTGACTGTTTGATCTGGGCATTGGACTGTGTCCCAACCTTCAGAGATCTCTGGTTTCTGAGAAGAGAAGCCTTTTTGAGGTGAGGAGAAGAGACCTCTGTGACACCTGCTCTTGGATTCAGTCAGGGACCCTCTGATGAACCCTCGGGCTGAGAGCTGGGCTGCTGTTTCAGAGCCCGCAGTAAAGCAGGAACTTCTGGTTCCAGTTGCTTCTTGCCAAAGCCTCAAGACACTTGAAATAGGTGGGAGGCTGGCACGCAAAAGAAAAGAGATTTTGTGCAGCTTAGAGCATAGCATTGAACAAATTGCAGAATCGGCAGCCACACAGGAAGGGGGTGCTGGTATCCCAGTGACGTCCCTAAAGCCTCGACCCACTGGCAACATGCCAGGCTCCCATTTGGTATGGTTGTGGGGAGGAAAAGAGGCATCTGTCACCCTCTCCCCCTCCTGTAGGGATAACCCATCGCAAGCCAGCACTCTGAGGTCACCGTTTGATCATTTCCACAACCAGGGCTCTGGGAGGACAGATTTGGTTGGTGCTTTTGAGCCGGTCCTTGAAATGGGTTTGCG